GTTCGAGGCCTCTCTTTGAAGAATATTTGTAGTATATTGTATTTTACTGAATTTATAACTTCTATCCTTTTGTTTTTTTAACTCTATTTTTAAAACTCCTGATTTCGCCACTGTAATATATATATAAACTATTATTTGCTGTAAAAGTATTGTAGCATGAAATGATATTGAAAAGATTATGAGTCCCCTATTCTCAGTTCTAAAGACAGTTTTACAAAGAATCCAGTAGTTTCTGAAATACTTAGTACTGCAAGGTTATGGTAAAATGATTTCAAAACAGAAAATTGTCATCAAATTGAAAAGGGTTAAGTTGATCAACATAGCAATATGTTTTGTCACCTATCAGGAACATATAATATATAATATTGCCCTTCGCTAAATTACAGTAACAAACTAGAAAAAGTTAGTTTTTAAGCCCAAGAATGTATTCTTTCTTATTCAGGTTTTCTTTGAAAAACCCGGACCATTTGTTTAAAAACACGGAAGTTTTAAATGTTACTTTCGAAAAAACACGGACAATGTAAAACACTGAATTATTAGTGAACTACAAGGAAATTGTGCGTCGTTTGTGCTCAAAGCATGTTTAGTATTCAGAAGAAGATGAACAGTCATGAATAAACTATTATATACGCGAAATAGCAGTAAATTGATCTGATCGCATGTAATATCGCTCGAAAAAACCTGATCTACACTCGAAAAAGGTGGACCGATTCACTCAAAACACGATCTCCACGTACACTATACCTACCGTGAATATGACAAAAACATAATCATTTTATTTATTCGCAATAATAATTGATGAAAATGAACATTATATCGACCTTTTTCTAATTCGAAATTGTGATCTGTCATTTACTTAAATTCGGATCTGTGTAAGTAACTTTTCATAGTAATTTCATATATAGTTTGAGAAAATAAGTTCTAACTGTTGTCCATGTTAACATTTGTCTCGTGGATGGTTGCAGACTGCTAGGTGCCCTCTCGATATCGTTTGGTTAGTTTTGTAGTTGGGTTACTGTATCATGGGCTTATAACCCCCACATCTTCTTTTATTCATCATAGACATAATCTGGTTCAAAATAAAAACAACAGGTGAATAGTTTGCTTGAAAAAAATGTAAAAAAAAACCCAACATTTTTTGACTAGCTGCAACGATTTGCAACTTTAAGTAGACCTCTTTAACCATTTGACCGGTGACGCTGCTCACGATATCCCCGGCAGAGTTCATCATGGACATACAGAGAAAAGATTATATGTGAAACAGAAGCAACGCGCATTCTGTTTTTGTAATTTATTTTATCGAATGCCAGTTAAAAAGAGCAGTGGCTATATAAATTCTGTCTTAGGAAACACACGAAAAGTAAATATGTATAATGTACGGTTTTCCGATTACGCCCACCAAATTTGATTAAAAAGGCTTGTTTTTCTACTAACTTAAGTCAATTGGTAAAATGTGTAACTTCGTTATTTTCAAAAGCGCCCTCAAACAAACTATCAATATTGAGGTTAAACAAATATATATATATTAATTTGGATCTAAACCATGACAACTTTGATCAAAACCATGACGAATTTCTAGACATTTAACTGAACTATAGCAATTGCTTAATCAAACCATATTAATTTTGATATTTTGGTTAACCTGCGTTAATTTCTTAAAAACAAAAACTTCGATGTAGATCGTTTGACTTACAATGTAGATTTAAGCATCTTATTTGCTTTATATTTGCTTATTTGAAAAGAACTGAGGCAATCGTTCTGGGTAGTAACCTTACTTAACCATGACCAACATAACCAACGTATGATAAAACCACTGTACCAAACGGTCCTCGATATGACGACGTAACTACCCGTAATGTTTGTTAGAAAAAATCCCGCAGTATTTGACATAATGCACGAGTACATGCTTATAGAAAACGGTTAGTTTATGTAATATAAAAAAAGCTGCATTATACCCATTTCCCTTTGTAAGATACAACGCCGGTTTTTACCAATAAGCAATTTGTATTCTTCATCAATATAACTGTGTGTTACTGTGTGTACACATAGTAACACCATTTAAAGGCTAACTCATTCCAATGTATTTCCAAAAATCAAAAACAGTTATTATATGTAGCAACATCCTTTAAGACAATCCAAAAGACATTTTGCGAGTCAGTGGTCTATAGTAATCAGGTTGTCTCTAGATCACAAACTCGTGTACGGGCGTTTTCTTGTAGAATCGATACTCGGAATCGTTTGTTGTAAAAATAGTTGTGAATAAAATTGAATTTGTAGCTTAGAAGTCAAGGTCAGTAACGTTTTTCATAGCTGCATACTCTTTTTGAAATGTTCGTTGTGTAAAGGGGACGACAGTTTGGTTTGGAAAGGGGTGGTGATAGGATGAAAATGGATTTTCTTCCAAACAATATGCAGGAAATAATTATGTATGTAAGTGAAGATATTAAATATTCAATAATAGTTGACGTCCACTGCGTTTGAATGTAAGTAAATTGCATCGTGGTAATTGTAAAATACTAGTTTTCTAAAAAACTGCACAGGTTAAAGCCTCCCTAAAAAGCTGCACAAGGAATAGCTTTCATAAAAAGCTGCACAAAGAATACCTTTCATAAAAAGCTGCACAAGGAATAGCATTCCCTTCAATAGGAGCCGAGAAAACTTTGGCGAAAATTTTCCTTGTACAATAAGTGTTGTAAAATTTTAAACTATCGGCAAACAAGAAGTGGCTAAATGGCAGATGCAAAAATTGCTTACTCGCTACAAAGCAACATTATCAAGCAGCAAACTAAATATTGACTAATTCCCTTCATTATGAATCGGAAAAACTTTGACGTAAATTTTACTAGTACAATGAGTGTTGTAAAATTGAAAACTATCGGCAAACAGGAAGTGGCGACATGGCAGATGTAAAAATTGCTTATTCGCTACAACTCATCATTATAAAGCTGCAGACCAAATATTAAATCATTCCCTTTCACAGAAGCCAAGAAATCTTTAGTTTTCTTTTTTTCTTTCGGATGGACGGACGGAGTCAAGCGGTTACTAGATCGGCTTCCTTCTACGGCGACGCAGGTACAAAAAAATCCAAATACTATAAGAACAACAAAAAATTAGGAGATTGTCTTCATCGTAGCAATTTTTATGATTTAAGTTTTTTTTTGTTGTAGACCACGAATATTTACCATGATGATTTTGTTTGTATATTAAAACAAATAAAATTGAGAATGGAAACGGGGAATGCGTCAAAGAAAAAACAACCTGACCAAAGTGCAAAAAACAGCCCAAGGCTACCAATGGGTCTTCAACACAGCGAGATAAATCTCGCACCCGGAGGAGGGCTTCATGCCCCGAATACTTGTTCAGTTTCATCTTAAATATATTGTTAAACCAACAGCATACAGTCTTTTTAATTTAGGGCAAACATTTCCGAAAATCAATTTATGACAAAAACATAATAAAAAATAACTTGTGACAGTGAAATATTTTCCCTTGTCATTTCAAATAACATTTTGTTGCTTGAATCTAAAGCATTAGGGTAAACGAGACTTTTGTATAAAACCTTAAAGAACTCTTTTTCAGACATGAATCAGGATAAAATAAATTAAAGCGAAAGGAACACAAAAGCTGACATTTCCATGTAGAACACAATCTAAGCCTACCCAAACGAAAGTCCTTCCTCTACACTAGAGGTTGCACTAACTTCTATATTAACAAAAAATTCTGCTCATGTTAAATATATGATGAAATAAGGCAAGCTTTTTGAAAGCTAATACTTACTTTTGACCTGAAATGGATTGCACAGACGAAAGATGATTTCACACAAATAAACACTAAATTTACATTGTGACACATTTACTTTTGAATTATTTATCTTATGGGTAGTAATCTATATCGGTCAGAAAATACAGATTTTTTGGGGTTCTAGACAACATACATCATTATATACTTTTGTCGATATTAATTCATCAGTGATGAATTATTGCCAACAAGTTTTTATATCGTTTTTTTTTGGAAATGAAGTGTGTTGTCCATCAAGTAGCAGTTGATTTCATCCTTCTTATATTGAAACTAAATTATCCTCACTTATAAGAATTCAAACTAAGTATTTTTGGTTCCGAGATTTAAACAAATGCAATTGTTACATGGATGAAGTTTGTAGAGAATGGCTCAATTTTAGTAGTAAAAATATTCAATTAAACTCTATCTATGTATATTTCCACGTTTGATTTAGCAGACATGTGACAGAGTTGTAAAGTCACAACTGGAGATTTAGAAAAATAGTCTAATTCAATAATACTTTCTTCTCCAAATACAAAACGGTTAACTATGTTTGAAATGTCAGCCCTTATAGCATGTATAGTATTTCCAGAAAACGGAAGTGAAGCATGCATCGAGTTCATCGACAGAGTGATTATATATGGACACTCGAATTCCATGTTTTCACTTTCCCAACTTTGGAGTTTTTCTTTTTCAACTACTTCCAATATATAGATCTTTTCTCAAAATGTATAAACATATTTCAAAAGTAATTATTGGGAATTTGGACAATAGACAGACTAGAATTAAGAAATATGCCTTAAAGTAATAAATGGTTTATTACTTTTAAATAATTAGCGTTATTAAATTTTCTTGATTTCTTCTTAGTTTTTAATGGCAGATATTGATTGTTTCCTGTTAAATTTATAATTATTCACAATTTTTATATAGATTAAGAACGATTTAGATCTAAACATTGGGTAGAAACATACCAATTGTTGAGAACTGTATGGTACACTTTAGACATCCTTTCAACTATTTGATTTGACTTTCGATTATTACCTTGTATATAAATGTTATTAAAATCATAAGTTTTTGTTTCTTTTAAGCAGATACAGTCTTAACATTTAATAAGTTCGTGAAATAGACTTTAGATCTGACAGACAGATACGTACCATAAACATACTTATAAATACAACAAGCCAAAGTCTGAGCTTATTTCGCTATATGATATAAAAACAAGATTGACGAATTAAGGTAATTTATTCAAAATCATAAAATGCAAATAAAATACAATTTGCAAATAAACATTTAACATAAAAGTTCATGATTAATATGCAATTATAATTCATAATCAATACGAAATTACATCAACTAAAATCATATCAATTGAAAAAATGACAAAGAATAGAAAAGGTGGAGAAAAATCTGCTTCACTAAAAACATATATACATATATACAATAACTTCTAAGGGTAATACAAAATAATTTTAGTTTAGACGCCATCTGATTAACCATCGAGGTGACCTCCGAAGACTGCCGACGATCATTCAACCCGATATAAACATAAACATAGATATACATAGATAGCGAACTCGTGCAATTGGAATTTTATAGGTCTGTGTTTGATTTCATGTTATTGGTTTTGAAAATATGTTAATAATCGTTTTTACATGTATAAGAATGAGTTTTTGTAGATCGAATCAGTCAACCAAATGGTTTACCCTTGTTTCACTTCCAATGTTGACATTCTTTTCTTTCTAATAGCTGAACACGCCTAGTTCATGCGTAACCCATCTCTAGCTAAGGCGTTCAATTGAAGTTCACATGAGTACGGATTAAATGAGGTCAAATTATTCACTGGCCAGTGAATAATTCATTAGTGATATTTCTTTGCTTATTTTGACAAAACTGAACTAAACTGCCTGCTAAAACCGAATTATTATATCACTATTTCACTTTAATTAATGATTGAACAAAAACAAATCAGAATTTTTTTTCTATATCTCGTAGCTAATGCCCCTTTAAAATTTTACATCCAGATATATTTCATAAACGCATTCGACTTCTATCTGCCCCTACCTTGAATCACGGAGAGGGGAATTTCTCTAGCTGCAGCAGAAGTCACAGCCCCTTTCCTGAAACTGTTTGCTTTATAGTACCTAGTGTCTAAAGCAATGAACGACAAAGCCGATTTTAAAGAGTTTGTAAAATAAAAGCGTGTTACTAGTGCTCCAGACTTAAATAGGAACAAAGATCCATTTGTATGACCAAACTGTAACAATTATGTAAGGACAGCTGTAATTGCACACGCCATATTTTCTGCACAAATCGGGATATAAATGGTTTTAGGATGCAGATCACTTTGTTTATAATATGTCATGGTCAAAGACGTACCTTTCAACGTACTATTTTCGATTTTTTCTGATGGGAACATTGCTATCATTTCATTAGAATCAATTTCGATCTCATCAATGGTTAAAACTGTAGTAGGTAACCGTTTTTTTCATGGTCACTTCAATTCTTACATATCTTCAAAAACGAGTTCAAGGCCTATTCACAAGCAGTACTATTTGCTTTAATGATAAAACAAAATCATCTGACACGATGAAGACCGACACATTTAGGAGACAAGTATCACAATAGTATTGTTCATTCCATGTAAAGCCTATTAAATGATCATCTTTTGGATAGATGGACAATAAACGCAATGCATTTCGACGTTCGTTCGTGACATCAGGGCTTTATGACCTTTTGAACTGACTTTATGACATTTTCTATGTTGACATAAGATACTGAAGTATATTCAGAAGGAATGGACAAATTGACAGAGTTGCCTTTAGGAAACAACAAATCATCATGTATGATATGATATTGACCCAATTCTATCTTCAGTACAAGACGGAACGGGGAAAAAATTTAAATGAGGAAAGGGGGGCGAATAAACCACACTTTCTTAATTTCCTTTTCTATTTTTTCCCTGACAATTTCAGATTGATTCAAAGCACTCTGATGATTCTTACATGTCAGAAACGATATTTTGACACCAGTAGTAGCACCTAACCTTAAGCCTACTGAAAATCCTTATATTAAAAATTCTTCTAGTTCCGGAATATAAAACTGTAAGTATGTACCAAAAAAATTCATTTTATCTGGAGTTGGAAAATTAGTTTTTATTAAATACTGTACCTGATGATCGTTTATTACGATCTCTGTAGCATGTTTCTGTCCTAAGTGAGCACATTGGTGTTTAAGGTTTGCACATTTTGGAAGCACACACACCACTTTCGCAGTATTTTCAACACAATCCTTTTGTGTATTTGCTTGGTTTCTGTTCGACCTGCTATTTTTCGAATCAACTGATAATGTTGAGGCTTGTTGCTTGAATGTTTTATGGCCGTACCCAATCGGTATAACTCATCGTGTAATATGGCCCAATCTGACCTATGAACTACTCCTAGCATTCTTTATTCTTCTTAATAAAACTATACTCCTGAAATCCACTCTCATAACCAAGTATTCTCATATCATTGCCATATTTGATTAGATCTAACATCAAATTTGTGTACTAAGTCAGATGAATGCATAACAATATATCAAATAAATCATTTCACTGGTACATGTTTGAAATTGTGTTTGGTTTTGAATTAGAGGTTGTCATTAATTTGATACTAGCGGTAATGTCATGTATTTCTTTATTTGATTGAGTTTGTGGCAGTTAAGAAGTAAAATCTACATATTCATTATTCAAAATGGAATTTCCCAATTTTTCGTTTACATGACATGCCAAATACAATGAATTCTTAATTAGCGTTAGTTAACAGAGCTAAAAGTCACAGGAACAGTACACATGTACAACCCCTCTGTGCATTTGCGTTACAATTCTCGGGTTTAGGTAACTGTCTACTGTCTGTTGGAAATATGCTGGTATGAACTGGTTATACGGCATTGTTCATGACACCTGATGTGAAAGATGGCAATGGTGGAATACACGAGATTGGGTGACTAATTACAGAAGCGCTTGCTTGTGTTTGCTGTCCTATTGGTTTTATTAAATTATCTTCAACATTTAACATATATATGTAAGAAGATGTGGTACGAGTGCCAATGAGACAACTCTCCATCCAAGTCACAATTTGTAAAAGTAAACCATTATGGGTCAAAGTACGGCATTCAACACGGAGCCTTGGCTTACACCGAACAGCAAGCTATAAAGGGCCCCAAAAATGACTAGTGTAAAACCATTCAAATCACTTCGTCAGTGTTTTATCCTTCGGTTTCAAACAAACCATTAAATTCCAAACTGCAGTTTGATAATGGGACTGGGTAGTATGTCATTTTATAACTTTGCGTCATTAAAGACTGTCTTTATTTCTTGTCGTCTAAGCTCCGAAGTGTAATCTGTAAGATCACGTGTTGCTAAGTCTTATCGGGTGGACAATTCAACTATCTTTACGTCTTTAATATTGTTCTCGTGATTTAGCTCAAAATCGTCCATGGCGTCGCTAATTCCTTTTAGATTGTTATTAGCATGAGTCTTAATTTGTTTTAGCTTCTCTTTTTAGATCGGTATTCTCCTTTCTTAAATGAGACATTTGTTCATCACTCGCATCACATCTGCTTTTGAAGTTTTTAATTGTATATTCGACGTCAACAACTCTCGTATTCATTTCAACTACTTTTGATACTAGATTTGTCAAAGTTCGATTCATTAAAGTTATTTGTAACATTCTCTCCTCAATACATGCACTCTCATTCACTTTGTTGCGTTTGGGTTGACCCGTATAGGACATCTCTTCTGTTTGTATTCAATATTTTGGCGGTATTTACATTTTTCATTTATTTGACACATTTGTAAAGAGTCCCAAATTGTTTAAGACGTCCCTTTCCTAACTCAAATAAGTTTTTACAGTCCCCTTAATAGATGCTCTACATATTGGACATTTTCTAAGCGCAGGCGCACAGTTTTCACAGCAAGCAAGATGACCACAAGGTAGAAATGCAATAGATATTTGTTCCTCTAGACATATCTTGCATGTTTGAAGATCTCTCAGATTCTGATTTTCTTCTTTCAAACTTCTGGCTGATGCTAAAATAAGACAATGTAAATCGTTTTTTTTCCCCAGAAATAGTGTATTATCATTTATACAAGTTTTGGACAAAAACCACAAAAAGATTGGTTAAATAATACTGGCACTGAAAAATATCTTCAAAATTGAAAGACATACAATTGAACATATTTTACAGTTTATGGGTTTTTGTCTTATGGACTACTATGTAATAGTCCAAAGAATTATTCAGAATAGAATAATCAATATCCAATTTAATGCATGTACTAACTAAGTAAACACTATTCTTATAAATTATGTAATAAACACCAACTGAATATATATTATTACAAAGTTAAACTATATAACAAAAAGTAAAATAACAAAAATACCGAACTCCAAGGGAAATTCAAAACGGAAAGTCCTTTATGACATGGCAAAATCAAAAGCTCAAACACATCTAACGAATGGAAAACAACTGTCATATTCCTGACTTGGTACAGACATTTCCTTATGTAGAAAATGGTGGATTAAACCTGGTTTTATAGCTAGCTAAACAGTATTTTGTTATCGTTAAGAAAACACACCAACAAAGGCGTGTTGGTTAGAATTCACAGATGCGCCTGACTGTCCGTTTTAACGTTTTGCTGCTGAGATTGTAAGTCGGAAGGATGTTTCGCTTTGCAGTTCCACCACAATACGTTAGTTTTACTTTACACAGCTGGCAATTAACAGGTTTTATGTCAACACTTCGTTTAAAGAATTTCAAATGGAAGATAAATTGTGAGGTATTTAAAGGACAATGTGCAAAAACATACGAAACGCATTTTAGCTATGATTACTATATAAATCTCAGAGTGGCGTTTTTAAGAAAATCAATCTTATAACAAGAAGAAGACAATGTGATAACAGGAAAACAAATAGTCGATTATCATTTTCGTATTGGATACTTGATACTACCGAGCAATACTCGAGTACCCGTTGACATAAAATTGAGAATGGAAATGAGGAATGTGTCAAAGAGACAACAACCCGACCATAGAACAGACAACAGCAGAAGGTCACCAACAGGTCTTCTAGTTTAAAGCAATAATTCGTTTATTAAAGGCAAACTACCAGAAGAAAAACATGTATTCCTCACTATGAAAATGTGATTTACATCTCAGATCTGAATCAACTATAGATTGATAAATATATTTACTTTCTTGGAAGTGTCGTGAAAAATTTTCCTCTGAACTGAGTGTGGCCCCTGAAGTGGCATACCCATTTTCTGTTTCATTTCTCTCTATTTGGAATATGGCTTCAATAAGTTCTGTTGCATTAATCTCTGCAAAGTAACATATGTTGTATCATACATATGGTTATTTTTAACTTGTGTTATTGAATAATTCAATTTGCTATTTTGTGATCAAGTATTGCCAAAGCCTCAGTTCTAGTGTTTGCTGTTAGACTGGGTGTATTTATGCATTTGTTTTCTCTTCTAGATTGTCTAGTTATTGTATAGACATTGTAAAGTTCCTGTTGATGCTGTGTGCTAAAGACTCCTTAACTCTTTACTGCTCTCCAGGTATGTTCCTATTTTTTCCAACGCTGAAACGTTTCTGCTAGCAGTTAATATGTATGATTTTTTAGCTGTTTTTGTCGCTGTTATTAAGTTTTGCGTGTGGTATGATGGAGGGTGAATTACTGCATGTTTTCGGTCTTGTCTCGTTTTTAATTTCATTTAATACAGTCCCGTTTTGTTTATTGTAGCAGCAAATGCATGTTATTTACAATCAAAACAAAGATGTCATATCTCATGAATACCTGTCTGCCCTGCTATTTGCAGTAAATCGTAAGCTTTCTTTACCAAACATTTTTCAAATCCTATTTCTAAGACCAACTTGATAGCTGAGTGACTGTTGAAATCAGTATTCTTTGTTACAGAATGTATGGTGTCACTTGTCAAATCTAGATGTCGATCGTTTTCATCCTAGAAGTAGATAGAATTTAGTACTTTTTTGTAATTGAAAATGCGTTAAACATTCGTACATGTGAATGATTCGTAACTAAATACATTGATTTTTATTAAGATTACTTCAACCAGAACCTGATCTCTAATATTCCTGTACATGTACATAGCAGAAATAAATTGAAAACAAAACAGCATATGAAATCAACATTGAGACAACATTGGTACAGTAATTTCATTTCTAGAGTGATTTTGTCAAATTCGCAGTTTTAACAAATATGGTACACGCAAATGGTTTCATAAGACATTACCAAGTAAATAGAGTATGTTCCACCTTGTAATTATTCCAATGTTGTATGTTAAGTATTGTTTCATTGGTAAGCGCCATAACAACAACAAGTTTATACGTGTATAAACCCGTTTTTGATAACATCACGAATACGAATTCCTACATAAGTGAAATAATTCTGTAAGTATTAGATAATTAACATGTTTGATCTGTGAAATTATTGTCATTGCAATTAATGGAAATAAGAAGAAAAAATATTATTTTCACACCTTTTATTATCTTTTCAAATTTCAAATCAATTTGTAAAATCGGTCGTTCCATCAAAAACTTAAGTCAGTTTGTGACCGAGTAAGCTGGGTTTCCACTCAAATAAATTCTTGAAAACTAACCTTTATTACTATGATAAACTTACAGTGATTGCAATGAGTAAATTTCTGTTCATTTGAATATTTTTAAAGTCATCTCCTTTGCACTGTCGCACAAAAGGACAGTCTGGATACCAGTGGGCATGTTCTATCCAGGGCTGGTCATCTGGTTCCCAGTTTTTTAATCCACCTCCACAGAAATAGCACCGACAAATATCTGCTGCATCTATCGTAAATCAAAAAAACATTTATATGATGGGTTGCAAAACAGCTTAGTTGACGACATCGAATGACGTATTAAAGTTGTTTAAATGCTAAGTTAATCGCAATTTTCATTGACTATCGACAACAGTGACCTTTCGCGTGAGAAGGCTAAACGTGGCTTTTCGAAGAAGGGCTGAACCAGTCAAAAACACGTTCCCAGCCATTGGTGGTTATTTTGCCCATGTGTTGTAGGATGTCAAAATATACCTTGTTTAGAAAAAATTGCAAATTTTAAGCTTAAGCTCATTTTTAGCTAAATCGTTTTTTTTTATTTCGAGCATACCCGAGAAAAAAAAATATATAAGAAATGTATATTGCATCCATGATTATTTATGCGTTTATTATTTCACACATTTGAGACGGATCTAGGTATTTCAGTCAACGGGTTGAATTAAAAAGAAAAATATTAGACGTTTTTTTACTATTGCTTTAAAATTACATTTTACCTGTGAAGAAGAACCCCGCTGAGGCCATTTCTTCCGGAGACTGTGTCAGATGTATCGGCCAATTTCTAAATGAATCGAGCCGTGCTGATCTGTTTATGTAATCTGGATACTTAGGTTTATCGTGCTCTTCAGAAACTGGTGGCATAAGTAAGATATAACAAATATGAAAACAATATCTACGTTTTAAAATGATTTTTAATTATCAGAGACACTGTTGTATTTTTTTAACTGACGCCCGTAACTGCTGAGAAAGTAGACGAAAAATATGGCAAACATAATTTTCTTTAAATTTGTAAAAATAAGAAACCAGCATTTTGGATTTTTTTTGTGTCTAGCGGCGTCCATCGTATATCTTAATCGGAAACAAAACTTGATAAAGTTTGTTGCGTAGAGGTATTAAATTAGTGATGAAGTAAATGGTTCTAAAATAAAGATGATTTTGGTAACTGTAAAAAATCATATCCGTAACTGAGATTACACGCATGTTTGTCATGCTTGGGAAGGAGCTGAATTTTTTACTGTTTAATCAATAGAAAATCAAAAATTAGACGAACTGCTCTACTTTTTCTATTTTTTTTTTATAAGACATATTTACAATAGAAGTTTTAAAAAACTACAAGTAATACCTGCCAAGCAAAAGATTCACTGATCTTTAAGAAAATTATGTAATACTTTTATCAAAAGCTATAATTTGTGCCTTATTTTTTTAAAGACGAAAATGTAGTCGCTATTCATTTGTTTTGGAAAACCTTCAGATATAAACATTCTAAACAGGCACTTTTGTAAAATTTTTAATTCGACTTGCATTTTGATAATTTAAGTGCAGGTTTTGACTGTAAAATAGTAAAATATGTATACCTTGACGTTTAGGATCGATATTACTGAATTGTAGCAAGACATTGACTTGTTTCATCCGTCTTCATAGATTTTGTGCGGAACATCCATATTTTTTTCTTTTCATTTCAAAACCGAGAATATATGGGTTGACTATGAAAGAGTTATCTGTTTTCCTGTACAGATCTCTTTTTTCCAGTTTGAACAACAAAGCATGTAACAATATCAACCACTAACTTTAATTACATGTCATACACAAATATAAAGGGAATACCTCCTGAATTACAGAGTTGTTTTTTTAATGAAAATATGATTTTTTTTTTTTCACACAGCTATAAAATATAGGAGCTACAAATGTCGATGCTTATTTTCTACTGTAGAATTTCAAACCAATGTCTTGCAATAACATTTTAAATTTATTTTTTGCAACATCATGATATAAACTACATTTTAAGGTGGTATGGGAGTCTTTTACCATCTTGGATTGTAAAATAGTATATTAGGTCTAGATTTTCAACCAAGTCATCAAACGATGCAGGAATTTACTAAATTAAATAATAATTTTCACTTACATGACCAAAAGTGTGTGTTTTTATCTTATAATTACTAATATGTTAGAAAGATAAAATATTTTTGCTCATTCTAATACTTTTTAACTTCGGGTATAAACATGATAAAGGGGAGGTAACTAAGAAATTGTAAAATGTATGTGGGAATCTACAGGAAATGTTTTAATTTTATGTAACATCAGCACAAAACGTAAATAATTAAAACTAAATAAAAAATGCGAAATCAGTTTTAATACCGTATAACGAAAAAAAAAGTCAAAAATTGTATTTTATCTCGAAGGCAAAATTATGTCCACCTAAATAAAACATTCAAGGTTTATCCAAAATTGTAGTTTGGAAAATTAAAGCGTAATTTAGAAGATTTAGATATTTAATTCAAGTTTTATCTATCTAAACTCTAATCATATATGCATAATCTTCTCTTTGGTAAATAATTTGGATTTTTGTTAAAGTGTGTTTTAGTTAAATCGTTTTAAGATAAATTAATGTGAATTAGAAACTGTTAGAGTCAATATTTGGCAATGCTTTGAATACATGGAAACCGCGGGGAAAAGATTATCTCATTTCACAGGTGTTTTTTTTAATCAAATATAATGTCATATGGGTGACTGTATTTTTAAGAACAACTTAGATCCTCAACATCAAAGGTATTGCTATCCCTAAAAGAAAATATATTAAAATTACTATAATAAATTATTACTTTATATATGTAAAAATGGTATTTCACCCTTTTTGTTTAGGTTGGAAAACAAGGGAAACCTAGTTTGTGTTAATAGTATACCTGGTGAAGTTGTTTTTGTATAATTAGATGGACCTTCCCTTCGTCGATTTTCTCTATCTGAAATATTTGAAATTTGTCCATCTTCTCTAGGTTGTAAGTCTTGTATAATTTGCCTGACAAAACTATTTATCTCTTCCGTCGTTAAGTCTAAAAAATAATTGTTGTGTATATTTCATCATTATTCACGATAATATTAGCACAATCTGTAAAAATCCTTGCCAGTTGTTTCTATATGTTTTGATTGCAATCTGTGCACAGTTACTATTTTGAAAAATAAGAATCCTCAACGTATTTTTAATGTGCGAGTTTATTTTGTTAAATCTGTGAAAAATATTAAATAATTTACAGCTTTCTGTTGTTTTTTTTTGCCCGAATTCCTATACCCTTTGGCCTGCATATTATGCAAAGTTATGAAAATATTGAAATACGAAAAGTTTACCTTTTGTCAATAAATAATCAATCTTTTTATTTTAAGATATGTAGTATTATTGTCAATGAGACAACTGTCCACCTGATTCAAAATGAAGCGGAAGTAAGCAATTATAGGCCTTCAACAATGAGAAAAACTCATAACGTATAGTCGGCTTTACAAGGATTTCGACATGCAAAATGTGAAACTATTTAAAAGAGAAAACCAACGGCCTAGTTTATAATTGCGGTGTCACATGTAGATTGTCCAATCGTCTTATCGTTTTTATAATTAGACATCTCAATTGTCCGTAAGCTCTTATTTACTTTGCGTCCACATGGTCGATAGTGCAATGATCTGTTGTCTTGGTTGAATGGCAAACCAGCTTAGAAAGTAACAGTTCATTTAAAAAATGGGTTTAGAAAAATTTAGATTACATAATTCTGGTTCGCAACACTTTTTTGATGTTTCCATTTATGACGTAATTCGAGGTATTTAAAGATGTATAAAGCTCCAACAAAACATTTACGTAAAAATTGTATTTTTAACAGCTTTCGTCACTGTCAAACTATCATCAATACCTGCTAGTATTTAAAACATTATAAATCTTTTTATTACTTGAGCGTACGTGTATATTAATAATTTTAATAATATCTTGAATAGAAACCGGTTTCAAATTTTGAAAGACTTCAAAATGTAGACTAAGAGTTCGTCCCGTGTGTATGATTTCGTTGGTTCACTATTTCAACTTTCTATATCTATCAAGAAAATGTTCGATTTAGATTTTCATATAATCTTCTTGTATTCAAAAAAATGTCTTTCAAAAAAATATTTTTTGTTAAATTGTTTTAATGAGTTATGTCAAATATAGAATAATTATATTTTTCAATTAAAGTTTGTATCTTCGAATTTTTAAATTAGCTTTGTATCTTCGAATTTATCAATTTAGCATTGTATCAAACACGACATTTCTATATATAAGATTGGAAAGTTGAAATTTAATCTTTTTTTTTCTAAAATTAGAAGAAAAATATTGAAACTTTTGTTGTTTTTTTAAAGATTTTTAAACTTATGCGACGTTTAAAAAGTTAAACATACTTATCTACAAATCTTCATTAATCTTATTTGGTTTTACCGTTCACTCGAGTACCAGTGGGTTTATAACATTTTTGGTTGTAATATAAATTAATGTACATATCATATAACTTTAAAAGTATAAAAGTTTGAATCCGCGTAGGCTAAAGTAAGTACCTTTAGAGAAATATTGTTTCTCTTTATGTCTATTTCAATGTTTAACTTATAAACAATAGTTTAGCGTTTGTATGGTGCATGTGATATCAATAAAAGTCGGATGTTATAGTTTAAAAATTTTCTATTCAATGAATTAAGTTGTGTAATAGAAAAACTCATCATAGATACCAGGATTATAGTTTGTTAAACCAGAAGCGCGATTCACTTACGTAAAAATCACCAGTGGCGCTCGAATCAAAACAGTTCGAAGGCCAAATCAAGGACGAAATTAGAGACCGATGTAGACAAAAAATTCCGAAGTTATGACAAATGCGACAAAATCGATCTATGTATGTGGTAGAAAAACACCAATAGTTTCGAATACTGCAAAATGCATCAAGAGCAAATTTACAGATAATTACCGAATCATTGATATGTCATGTCATATAGATGTTATCAATGTTAATTTGCATTACAGTGGCTATAAACCATGTGATACTTGTAAAACAGAGATGTATAGCTTAGTTTTAGGACGCCATGTTTGCTGAAGAACCGATGGTGCTTCGTAGCACGCTGTTTGAAACAAGACTTTCTTGCCACTTGATGTTGACAACATCAGTGACTATTTTACATAAACTGCTTACCTAAGTCATAGGCATATCCCCCTGTCTGAAATCGTGAAACATGACCACCAGTAACTACCGCAGAATACTGAACGTTCCCAGAGGAAGCTTAAATTGAAAAGTATAAATGGATTATTTGAGAAATGTTTTATTTGTTAAGCTCACATGCATGTATTCCTTAAACGGCTTCTGTTTGTTTATATGTGTTTATCTACTCAACATTGATAAAAGCATCCTATCTAAATAAGTTATAAGGGATATACAGTATATTTATACAAGTCGAAAACATATAAGATGTTCTATTCATCTCGGACGAAAGTCGAAAAGGTGTCAGGTGCAATTTATTTTAAATCATGGTCAAAGGTCAACAGGAACAACCCTAAAATTTGTAAGTCATATGATACTTGCCTCTATACAGGGAAACCATTCTTGAGAAACATTGTAAGAAAACTAATTACAGATACCAGACTTATGATTTTGTACGCCAGACGCACGTATATTAAATATGTATAAAATGATACGACGATTCTCATTTGAACAGACACTTTAGGTTTTACAAATAATCTTTTACAATGGTAAAATGCTTCAAAACCAAATCAACCGAATCAACATTTCAATCAAACCTGTTCTATTTATTCATCAGCCAGAAAGGAATTCTAATCGCTAAAAGACTGCTGTGAATTAACTCATATCAATACAAACATGCTAGGTTTGGACGTCTGCGATAAAGGTGCAACATTTTTTTTTTAAAAAGCGAAACACAAAATAATTAAAATGCTCCGCTGAGAGCAGCTGGATACGACCGCAAATATCGAACCCTGAATAGTTTGGGCAAGTCTGGACACTACATTCAAGCTTGATACAGCTCTGAATTTGGATTGTGATTTAATATTTGACACAGCATAGGTTTCTGACACTGAATGAATGTGGTCAAAGAACTGAAAATTTGAAATTGGACTTTTACATATTATGGTCCAATATTCAAAATCTAAATACACGGCAAGATTTAGCATATCCAAGTACATCAAGAATTCAATTTATGTGTTTATTGATGGACAAACTTAGCTAAGTTTTTAAAGGGGTTTGCTTCATATTTTTTTATATATAGCATTATACTCTATATTTTGCCCCTTTTCGGCCCTAAAATATGAAAAGGATTGGGCCATGACTCCCAAAATCAATAACAACTTTCCTTTTGAGGTAAGGAGCCTTGTGGTAAAATTGCAAAGCGATCCATTGTCTTAGACACAAATTATTGTCCTGAAGCAAGAAAAATGCTTGTTTTGACCTCTTTTTGGCCCTTAATTACTATAGAGCTAAGGCAATTACTCCCATAATAAATCCCAGCCTTCCTATTGTGGTATGGAACCTTGTGGTAAAATTTAGAGCTCCATACACCTATAATCAAGTTATTTTTCTGTGAACCAGAAAACATATTTGTTTTTTTTTCCCTTTTTGGCCCCTAATTACTAAAATGCTACGATGATTACCACAAAAATCGATTCCAACCTTCCTATTGTGGTATGGAACCTTATGCTAAAATTCAATAGAGATCCATACACTTATGCTTAAGTTATTGTCTGTAAACCAGAAACAATGCTTGTTTTTGGCCCCCTTTTTGGCCCCTAAACAGCTACAACAATATCCCCATAAATCTATCCCAACACTCCTATTGTAGTATGGAACCTTGTGCTAAAATTTCATACAGATTCATACACTTATATTCAAGTTATTGTCTGCGAACCAATTTATTGTCTATAAAACAGTGAAAATCCTTGTGTTTGGACCCTTTTTGGCCCCTAATTACAAAAACGGCTACGACAATACCCCCCAAAATCAGTCCCGAACTTCCTAGTATGGTATGGAACCTTACGCTAAAATTTCATAGAGATCCATACATTAATACTTAAGGTATTGTCTTCGAACCAAATGTGTTGGGATGCCGACGAAGACATCCCCATAAACTTGGAAACTCAACATATACCCCCACGACACTTACTAAAGAGGAAATCCTGGATAATCATAGGTCTGTTCAGGTATTGAACCTTGTGCTTAAACTTCATAGAGATCCATACACGTATACAAATTCTTGTTTTTGTCCCCTTTTAGACCCCTTATTACTAAACTATTACTACGGCAATAATCCTCAAAATAAATCCTAACCTTCCTATTGCGATATGGAACTGTTTGCTAAAATTTCATAGAGATCCATACACTTATACTCAAGTTATTGTCTGTGAACCAGTAAAATGCTTGTTTTTTGTTTGCCCCGTTTTGCCCCTTTTTGGCCCTTAATTACTAAACAGCCACGACAATAACCCACAAAATCAATTTCAACCTTCACATTGTGGTATGGAACCGTGTGCTAAAATTTCAAAGAGATCCATACACTTATACTCAAGTTATTGTCTTTGAACCAAAATGTTTTCTTACGACAAATGTCTTCGACGACGACGCAGACACCGTCATAAGATAATACGAAAGCAAAAGTTTTGCGGTCGTATAAAAACAATAAAAAACACGGTAATATCAATTTAAGTTTTAAAGAAAATATAACTTTTCCTCTCAGGAGTGATATGCCATGAAATTAATCTACACATGAACACTGTATTATATTATTTAAAAATAGTTTAAGGTA